TTGTATGCATTTTCGGAGACACAACATACATCAATTTTAAGGGAATACAAGGTTTCAGCAAGCATAGCCTGTTTGCCGATTTGACATAGAATTCGGACGTTAAAAGCTCCTATATAGAAAGGATCTCGTGGATTTAGAAAGGTGTTATTTTGTTTAATGTTTGTAGGCAGCGAGGAGCATAAGGCCCTTCGGTCAGATGACTGACAGTCCAATGGCCCGGCGATGTTTGCTTGTCCGGTGGGAAGGGGTTGAGGAGGGACATCGGTGGACGCTGAACTGCGCGGGCAAATGATACTTCCCGGTTGCCCAGGCCGAGGAAGGGGGTTTGGTTGAGGTACCCCACCTTGAGCCTTCGACTCAAAAGTCTGACCCACAAGGCAGTAGGATGACGTAGGGTTTTGTTCGGGGACCCTGACCCTAGCTTCTGACTCAAAAGTCTGACCCACGAGGCAGTGGGAGAATGTAGGGTTTTCTTTGGGGACCCTGCCCGGAGCCGATGACTCAATAGTCTGACCTGCTCGGCTGCAGGGGGTTGGCCTAACCCGAGGGCGCAGGGAATAAGGCATTACTGTCTCATTCCTGATGCGGCTGCGCACAGCAGGTGCCTTTTGAGCAGCACCGGGCTCTTTGGTTTTAAAAGTATTTCGACCGTATTGGATAATGCGCCGGCGGTCACGGTCAACCGTTGGGCGATCGCAGTGTGCGGTTTTTGGGGTCGACCTTTTCTAACCCGTCGTTCCTCAGGGGAAGGTAGCATCGCTGCTTCCATAAATATGGACATGCTGGTCGCCTTGGGGAAACACCTTACTGCCTTCACACTCCTGTCGCAGAGGACAGTACGACTTTACCCCCAGACCGCCTCGTAGCACAATTACTCGTAGTACGGGCTCTCGCTGCTCTTGGTCTGGCTGCTCCCCTTTGGCGTTCCTGGCATGGTTGCACCTTGTGGAACGAAGTTCCAGCCAGTGTAGCCCGCGGGATTATTGCAGCACTCAAGCCGGACCACCACGTCAAGATGGCAGCTTTAGGTCGTGAAGTAACATGTGATAACGGAAATCTGGGGTGAGTCTGACAGTACGTTGAATGATCTGGCTACAGCTTATCGTCTGCACTCAAGACAGCCTCGAAACCTGGCGTTCTGCGGAACAAAGCAAACGCTAAACGAGATTCTGTGCGCAGTGAACATCTCTCTGGTATTAGCAAGTATTGGTAATGGCAACGTCAGTATGCTCCCACCTTGTGTGGAGCAGCACATTACTGACAGGAAAAAGCAGCAAACAGAACTGGCGTTTCAATGTCACACAATGGTGTCATGGTTTGAATAACGGAAAGAATAAAAATAAGGCGGGAAGGGGGCCGGTTCACCGCACACATCCTATGTGCCTACGGCTCCAACATTCGACTAGGCAAACTGGATAGAAGCTGACATCATGGACGCCATTGAGGGTCGACTTCAGTTTCTGTGCTCAGAAACCGTGCAACAAAGTGCAGTAGTTCTAGCTGCAACAGCTTCGTTCATCGACGATAAGGAAAATAAGGGAATGAGAGCCATAGGTTGAAGGTGATGGTATAATGTGTGCATTGACGACAAACAGATTTGTTGGTTCACTATGGTGGAAAGTGAGAGCCATGCGGTCAAGGCGAT